CTAGTATTTCTACTACTACTACTACGACTACGACTACTACTACTACTACTACTACTACTACTAGTAATTCTACTACTACTACGACTACTACTACTACTGCTACTATTACTACTACTACTACTACTACTACTACTTTCTTGACTACTACTTACTACTATATTACTAACTACTACTAGTACCACTACTACTACTATACTCCTACTACTACTACTACTACTACTACTACTACTACTACCTTACTATATACTACGACTACGACTACGACTACTACTTACTACTACAAATATACTCCGTACCAATACTAATATCTACTACTACGACTACTACTATACGAACACTACTACTTAATACGACTACTACTGCTGCTGCTGCTGCTGCTCTGCACGACCCGTTTTCCAATCTATACTACTACGACTTCTACCTACTTACGATAATACTCCTACTACTGACTACTACTACTAATAACCTCTACTGCTGCTACTGCTACTTACTACTGCTGCTACTACTACTACGACTTACGACTACTGCTATTACTACTTATACTACTACTCCTACTACTCCTTACTCCTACTTACTACTACTCCATACTACTACTACTACTACTACTACCACACTACTCCTAACTCCTTACCACTATCCTACTCTACTCCTACTTACTCCTACTCCTTACTCCTACTCCTACTTACTACTACTTACACTACTACTACTACTACATACTACTACTTACACTACTAACTACCACTACACTACTACTACTACTACCTTATACTACTACTACTACTACACATATACTACTCCTACTACTACTTACTAACTTACTTACTACTTACTAGTTTACTACTAACTACACTACTACTACCACTACTACTACTACTACTACTACTACTACCTACTTACTACTACTATACTACTTACTACCTAATACTACTCCTATACTCTATTACTACTATATACTACTAGTACTACTACTACAGACTACTACTACTACTACTACTACTACTACTACTACTACTACTACTACTACTCCTACTACTACTCCTACTACTACCTCCGCCTCCGTCCCTACCGCCGCCATTCCTCTCCTGCCTCCTCCGCCCAGCCCCCAGGATGCGCCTGCGGGCGGGGCAGGCGCGGACGCGCGCGGCAGCCCTGGGCCCCTCGCGGGCGCGGGCGCGGAGCAGGCGCCCTGGTGGCCCAGGCGCGCGCGGGCCGGATCTCGTCGTCGCCGTCGTCCTCGCCGTCGTCGTCGCCGTCGCCATTGCCGTCGCTGTCATCGTCGCCGTCGTCGTCGTCCACGTCGTCGTCCACGTCCACGTCGACGTCGACGTCGCCGACGTCGCCGATCGATGTTGGAGGCTCGATCGGGATCGGCGTCGATCGACCGAGGTTCGAGCTCCGTCTCGACGGCGTGTTAGGAAGGGCCTCGCCCTCGAGGGGTCGAGGGGCTGCCTTCTCGTCCTCCTCCTCCTCCTCGTTCTCCTCTTCCTCCTCCTCCTCCTCCTCGTTCTCCTCCTCCTTGTTCTCCTCCTCCTCGTTCTCCTCCTCCTCCTCGTCCTCGTTTTCCTCCTCGTTTTCGTTCTCCTCCTGCTCGTTCTCCTCCTCCTCCTCGTCCTCCTCCTCGTCTTCCTCGTTTTCCTCCTCCTCCTCGCTCTCCTCCTCCTCCTCCTCCTCCTCCTCTTGTCCTCCTCGTTTTCCTCCTCCTCCTCCTCTTTCTCCTCCTCCTCCTCCTCCTCCTCCTCCTCCTCCTCCTCCTCCTCCTCTTCGTTCTCCTCCTCCTCCTCGTTCTCCTTCTCGTCCTCCTCCTCCTCCTCCTCCTCCTCCTCCTTCTCCTCGTTCTCCTCCTCCCCCTCGAGGCTCGAGGCTGCCGGTTGGTTCCTCCCCTGTTGGAGCCTTCTCGTCCTCCTGCGGAGGGCGCCAAAAGGCGGGCGTCAGGACAGCGGAGGCGTCTCCGCTGGCGGAAGCCGCCGGAAGGTGGCGGCAGGAAAGCCCTCCCCCCTCGGAGATGTCAGCAGTTTGGCCGTCAGAGTCTCCAGAGCGGGCCAGGGCCGAGGAGGTTGTGGATGGGCCTCCTGGGGCGCACGCGTGGCCGCGGCTGGCTCTGTCTCTGGCCAGGGGGGGCCTACTGAGAGGTCGGGGCGGCGATGGGATACAGTGGGAGCCCAGATCCTCTGGCGTCGCGAGACAATCGAGACGGGCGTTTGTCGAAGAAGAAATCACGGCATACATCGCCGTGACGAAAATTTCTTTCAATTTGCCTTTTGGAATGACGCGCTCGTGCGGAGTAGTTCGGAGTAGTTTTACTACAACTACTCCTCGCGCAATCGCATCCCGCTCCATAACTTGTATGGTTTGGCGCGGAGTAGTTTCCGATCCCGTTTTGGGGTCACAGAGCTATTAACGTCTCCGGGATCGGAGACTACTCCTCCGAATGACCTCAGCATCATGTCATGTTGGGAATCTTGAGAGGGATGGGAGAGATCTTCATCATAGCAAGTTGAGGAGACTCTTGTCACGGCTGTGCAGACACAAATTGTTGGAGCTCCGCGCGGACGTCTTCGATCGGCGCTGGGCCCCCCGGGCGGCCGGGCGAAGCGCCCCCGGCAGAGGGGCTCCGAAAGCTTATGCTTCTGCAGCTGTAGTTATCTTCCTCGAAAGCCTCGAGGAACAGTTGAAGTGAGTCCGCACAGCATGCACGCACACTGGGGTCTGCTGGGAGCCTCCGAGCTCTCACTCAAAGCTGATGGCCCGCCGATCCAGAGATGCCCCAGGCCGTCGTGCTGACGAGGCACCTCCTGCGAGGACGGCGACGATGGCGCCCGAGGGGCCTCCTCCCTCCTCGTGGCTGCCGGCGGGGTGGTGGTGGGCTGCAGGGATGGCTCCCGGCGCCGGGCACCTGGGGAGCATGGGACTGCCTCCTCCTCCTCCTACTCCTCCTCCCCTCCTCCTCCCTCCTCCCTCCCCCCTCCTCCTCCTCCTCCTCCTCTCCCTCCTCCCCCTCCTCCTCCTCCTCCTCTCCTCCTCCTCCTCCTCCTCCTCCTCCTCCTCCTCCTCGTCATCCTCCTGCTCTTCCTTCTCCTCCTCCTCCTCCTGCTCCTCCTCCTCCTCCTCCGCCGCCTCCCTCAGCCCACGATGGGAAGCCCTGCTGCTTTACTTCGGCGGCGGCGTGCGCCTCTCTGCCTCTCGAACACCATCGGCTGATAGCCGCTGATAGCACGCGGCGCTCCGCGCTGCCTGCTCTCTCGCATCGCAGCCCGATCCCCGAGCGCGGAAGAGGGCCCGCAAGGAGGTCAAGGCCCGCCAGAGGGAGGCCAGCCCCCGTGGCCAGCGGACAGCTCGCATTCGGCGGCATGTTAAGTCGGGCCCGTCCCTCTACAGGAGAAATATTCAAAAATAGTTTAAAATAGCCTGGTGACTATTTTTTAGTGTTTTTGGGCATCCTTTGAGTATTTCCCTACCTAGGCTCTGCCTAGAAGGGTTCTTACTCTCTTAGCTCAAAGGGGCCGGGCAGTGCAAATCGCCGCGGGCGGTTCCCCCAGTCCCCGCCCCGCGGTTCCCCCAGTCCCTTGGGAGCTTTAGCTTTAGCTTTTAGCTTTAGCTTTAGCTTTAGCTTTAGCTTTAGCTTAGCTTTAGCTTAGCGTTAGCTTAGCTTTAGCTTAGCTTTAGCTTAGCTTTAGCTTAGCTTTAGCTTAGCTTTAGCTTAACTTTAGCTTAGCTTTAGTTCAGCTTTAGCTTAGCTTTAACTTTAGCTTAGCTTTAGCTTAGCTTTAGCTTAGCTTTAGCTTAGCTTTAGCTAGCTTTAGCTTAGCTTTAGTTTATCGTTGGCTTAGCTTTAGCTTAGCTTCAGCTTAGCGTTAGCTTAGCGTTAGCTTAGCTTTAGCTTAGCTTTAGCTTAGCGTTAGCTTAGCTTTAGCTTAGCTTTAGTTTATCGTCGGCTTAGCGTTAGCTTAGCTTCAGCTTAGCGTTAGCTTAGCGTTAGCTTAGCTTTAGCTTAGCTTTAGCTTAGCTTTATCTTAGCTTTAGCTTAGCTTTAGCTTTAGATGTAGCTTAGCTTAAGCTTATATTTAGCTTAGCTGTAGCTTATACTTAGCTTAGCTTTAGCTTACCGTTACCTTAGCTTTAGCTTAGCTTTAGCTTAGCTGTAGCTTAGCTTTAGCTTAGCTTTAGCTTAGCTGTAGCTTCGCTGCAGCTTAGCTTTAGCTTAGCTTTACTGTTACTACTAATGCTGCTTTCCTAGGGGCTCCAACTCCTAGGTAGGGTCGCACTGGGATAATTTTTGAGTCTTTTTAAATTTTCGCCCAAAATCCCCCTGTAGGGGGACAGGCCCGACTTCAGCGGCATGCTGTTGTCGGGCGGGCGCCGCGGGAGTGCGCCTTCACGGTTCGCCCCTGGAGACCGTGGTGCGCCTCCGACTCTCCCGCCTCATGCGGCCTCACGCTCTGCCACGCCGTGGCCTCGAGCCCGAGCCCGGCGCCGACTGTCCCCGCAGACCACAGAGGCCGCGCGGGCCGGCCGCGTCGCCGGCCTGGCCGGCAGCCGCTCCTGCGTGCGATCGGCAGCCAGTCTTCGAGAGTGCGGTCGGCCGCCCGAGTTTGGGGGCGATCGGCCGCCAGACGTTCCTCCTCCTCCTCCTGCTCCTCCTCCTCCTCCTCCTCCTCGCCTCCTCCTCCTCCTCCTCCTCCTCCTCCTCCTCCTCCTCCTCCTCCTCCTCCTCCCTCTCTGCCTTGGAGGGATGCGGCTCTTCGTGGTTTCCCTGTCCTTCCCTTTCCCCCCGTCTCCCCCCCAAGGAAGAAATCTGCTCTCTGCCTGTCCCCTCCCGTTGCCTCTCTCCCGCCTGTCCCCCCCACGGTGCCTTCTCTCCCCCCCCTTCCTCAGGGGAGGCGGATGACCTTCCCCATTTGCCTCCTCCATCCCTCCCCCCTTCCTCTCTCTCCTGCTCCTCAATCCCTCCTCCTCCCTCCCCCATGCTCCTCCCCCTCGTCTCCCTTCCTCCTCCTACGTCCCTCCAACTCTTCCTCTTTTGGCGACGACGGCGGCGGCAACTACGTTGATGTTGACGACGATGACGACGCTGAAGACGTTGACGACAGCCGCGACGGCGACGACTTCGACGACGACGACGAGGTTGCTAGTGAAGTTGCCGATGACGTTGACGACGACGTTGTTGACCACGTTGCCGACGGCGTGGACGACCTCGATCTCCTTGTTAACAACGTTGGCGACGATCACCACGACGACGCCGATGCCGACGACGGCCATAACAAAGATGACGACGACGACGTGACAACAACGATAACGACTATGTATGACAAGGCTAACGGTGCTCAAGACGAATCTGACAACGGCGACGAATGTCACGACGACACCAATGACGACTATGAAGACGACGGCTTTCGACGTTGACGACGACGACGATGACGACTATGACGAGATTGACGACGCCGACGACGACTCCGACAACGACCAAGACGGCTCTCACGGCAGCGACAACGACAGCGACGACTATTTAGGAAAAAAGACCGACGACGTTGGCGTTGACGATGCCAGCAGCGGCGACGACCACGTCGACGCTGACTACGGCGGCACCGACGACGTTCACGACGCTTGCGACGGCGGGCCCGCCAGGCCTGCGGCGCTCCAGATCGAGGAGCTGCCGCCGCAGGCTCCGCCGCCGCCAGTCGATCGATCGAGCGAGCATCGACAGATCGATCGAGGGTCGAGGTCCTCGAACGTTTTCAACCTTCTGGGCCTCGGGAGGCCTCCGCCGCCGTCGTCGGCGTCGGCGTAAGCGTCGGCGTCGGCGTCGCGGTCGTCGGTCAGAGGACACTGCACCGAGGCGCGCATCCAGCGTGGCCTCTCCACTAGATGTGAGAAGTTTGGCAATGACGAAGCCGATGGCTGGGCCCGGTGGATTGCCTCAAGGCTGCGGATTCCACACGAGCTCTGGCAGGCCCGAGACGCCAAGGCGCGGGTTCTTGCGCAGTGGTCCTCCTGGGTTACCAAAGTGAAGTTAGGGCTGCCAGCGGCCGATCGGGATGCCGTCCATTCCAAGGCTTAGGCAGCGCATCGCGGAACCTCGTGTGCCCGTGCGGAAGGACCTGCCGCCGCCGCTAGCCACACCGAATATCTTCGCCAGAGCTGGCGGAAAGCACGCGAGGGTGGTAGTCAGTGGCAGGCGGCCGCCGCCTCCTCCTCCTTCTTGGTGCACCTCCTCCTCCTTCTCCTCGTCCTCCTCCTCGTCCTCCTCCTCCTCCTCCTCCTCCTCCTTCTCCTTCTCGATGCACCTCCTACTCCTCCTCCGCCTCCTCCTCCTCCGCCTCCTCCTCCTCCTCTCCCCTCGGCCGCGGGGCGCCCTGTTCGCATGGCTAAATACTTGTAATTCGTGGCAAGCGGCCGCCCGCATGTAATTCATCCGTTCTCGGGGCGTAGATCGAAGAAAGTCAACGACTGCACACACATACACTTTCGAAGTTCCACGCGTATTCATTGGATCGGCGCTGGACCCCACAGTTGCCGATGGGGGATCCAGCACTGATCCCAGAAATCCGCGCGAACCTCCAACATCCTACGTTTATGTAGTTGTTGTTTTCTAGGGGTGTGTGGGGGTGCGTGTGCCGTGTATGGGGCGGGAGGGCTGTGTGTGTGTGTTACTCTCTCTTACCTCTGCCTTTCGCGGCCCTCCTTGCAAAAGGATCCTGGGCCGCAGGGTGCCGAGTGGACTGGCGCGAGGGCGTTACCGGATAAATCAGGCCTGATTATAGATATCGTGCAGCCCTGGCGCACGGCCGATATCGTCCGTACTGGGGGTTCCTTGTCAAGTCTGCCGTCCAGAGGGTGATTGATTCGCTCTGGTTTCGAACGGGTCATGCGGTGGCGGAAGTGGCTTGACAGATACGCCACCCACCTCTGAGCATCAGCCGCGGATCAGACCTATTCGCGCGTTCGGCTGCGTCGAGAAGGGAAGAGGAGAAGGAAGAGGAGGAGGAGCAGGATGAGAAGGAGGATGAAGATGAAGATGATGGATGATGATGATGATGATGATGATGATGATGATGATGATGATGATGATGATGATGATGATGATGATGATGATGATGATGATGATGATGATGATGATGATGATGATGATGATGATGATGATGATGATGATGATGATGATGATGATGATGATGATGATGATGATGATGATGATGATGATGATGATGATGATGATGATGATGATTGATGATGATGATGAGGATGATGATGATGATGATGATGATGATGAGATGATGATGATGATGATGATGATGATGAGGAGGAGAGGAGGAGGAGGAGGAGGAGGAGGAGGAGGGCGACGCCGACCTGGACGACGAAGACGACGAGGACGACGAGGACAACACGGACGACACGGACAACACGGACGACGACGACGACGACGACGACGACGACGACGACGACGTGCTCCCACGCCGTGCCCTCCCGACGAGCGGGCCTCCGCACCCTCCGCGCCAAGGCGCTCAG